ATTCAGAGTGACCAGACTTTCTTCATATTCTTGATTGGCGGCAAACAAACCCTCATAGGTGTGAAACTCGACAGCGGCGTTCCATTTGAATGTTAATCAAAGCTTTTAAAGCGTACCACCTGGTGAAGGTAAGTATAGTGTGACTGTGAGGTTGTTACTTTTAACTATTTTGATCGTAGACTTGTTCTCAAACGCCTTTCTGCTAATTTTGATATAGTTCCTATTTTGTGATGCCCTAAGATCAAACGCGAGTAAATTTGAGGAAATGTGTACTCACCATTTCAGCAATTTTCATTCGTCCACGGATCGTCTTTACATAGTCGCTTTTGAAAAGAATTTTGCGAACAGGTGAAGCAGTTTTTGTCGAAGGAACCTCTGGGGGCGATTCGGCCATTGGTAATGACTCTGGGGGATCCAAAGGAAAACGGTTTTCGGTAAGGTGGACTACGAGCAATGGTCTTAATGGTGACGTCGGCGAAACGAGATTAAAGACGTCGGCTGCAATGCCGTAAAACGAAAGGTCGACCGTAGGACCGGTTGTGTGGTCGGCAAACAGTGACCTCCGCGTGTAAATCGTTGACCTCTGACAAGCAACAACAATTGCTTGCTCCAGACGTTAGACGCAGACCGGTTCCGGCAATGTAACTACTTCGATGTTTGGCCCGCCTATCTGAAATTTCGTCTCAAGGTAAACTTCTTGCCCAATTGCCTCGGCGACGTCCGTGCGATGAGCAACATCGCATGAGGAAGTCGGTTTAAGTCGGTTCACGCATGTCCCCGGTATCGACTTTTTCATTCCCTTGCCAAACAGTAATCTGGGAGCTATGAAAGTGCATCCTACCCTCTGCTTGGCGAAATCTTCAATCGACAGTCCTGTAAAGACTGTATGCACTGGGCATATTAATTATGCTCATTATTAGCCTTTTCTTATCAGAGTACTAATATGGCATTTATACTGTTGCATTCCAAGGAGTTATTAGCAAAGAACAACTTCTATGCACCTTGTTTCCGGCTACGCCTACTCTTTCAGGAAATTGGAGCACCGCCGTAAGTTGTGGTCAAAACAATCAAGGCATCACTCGAGTCTTTTAACCCTCATCCTGCAAAAGCAGAACAGCATGTAGGGCAGTGACGAAGGGTTAGAAAGTACAGCGTTATGAAGGATTAACGACGGAACGGCATGAACGAACCATTTCACTGATCCTATACGATCTGATCAAATAAGATCTTGGCATATTTTTAAACTAACTTTACTCCTGTCTTCATCTTCTTCAGTTAACTGGCATTTCAGTAGATGCAGACACAGCGAAACAGACGGATGGTAGTCCTTAGTAGAACTGCTGACGTTCCAGCAAACACTAAATTGGAAAAAGGTGAGGAGCCGGGTCCACATCGAGCAGATACAAATAATCATGAAATACAGTGGCAGAAGGCCAAAATCTCATACAAAGCAATTAAACAGAATCCCAGTCCGTATCTTAGAATTGTCAGAGTAGCTGGCTGCACTATCCGCATATCTTGAATGATTCTTTGATCAGCACTTTCATTTTTCCGCTTTGCTGACGTTAGCGTTGTCCACTCGATGTTCGTTTTCTAGTATATGAGCAAAAAACTGCACTATTGCTCATTTGCATTCGTTAATTCTTATTTTGAAAGTTCTAAGATATTCCCAACGTAAATGCGCTCAAAATCGTACATACCCAATCAATCTGAAGAAATTCGTACCATTTTAAATGAAAATGGTATCAATATGTTGTCTCGCCGGTAGCACGTTTCAAACCATATCAAGCAAAAGTTTTATCGTCGTCTTAGCATGCAAATCAGCAACATGATTTATTCCATTACGTGTGATGATAGTGAATGCGTTTGTATTATTAAAACTCTTAGACCTCTTTAAATTAAAATTATTAAAAACAAAAGTGCAATTAGAGGTCACCACGCGGAACACGGTAAGTTTCTTGCCCAGTGAGTAAAAAATGACCATTCACTGAATGCCAATGACACCGCGATCAGTAAAGCGACATGACCAAGTAATTGATCAGCGAATCACTGCACATGGCTGTTAACTCAAACGGTACAACATCACAAAAAAGATAATTTATTTAATACTGCCTCACATTGTAAGAACGACAGTAAGGTCACAAAACATCCCATGAAAAGAACCTGCGGTACTATAAGTGACCAAATTACTTTATGATCTTTGCGGACAGGAAGAGTGAAAGATATAAGACCCACTGCAACAAGAACCTACCATCGTTGGACATAAGAGACATTAGACTGCCTTCTGAAAGGCAGCAAATGGAACACCCATGAGAAGATCTTCAGGTTGATGCCATGATGGAACAAATTTTTGAATCACTGGCCAGACGACGAGTTAAGTAAATCATTACATTTTCCATTGGTCATTCAGAAAAATGCACAGGAGCAAACCTTCTGTTCGAAAGCGAAATTATCCATATCTTCATCTTTCATGGCCGCTTCTAATTTCGGGTCGCGGAGGCAGACACGTCAGAGAGAGCTTCCAACGTTTCCCATCCTCTCTCAGAGTCTGAGCTTCGAGAAAAGACAACTGCAGTCTGAAACAGTCTCCTTCCATATGTTTGCACCAGGTTAATCTTGGTCATTCCTTGGGCCTTCTGCCGATCAGATTCGCATGAAACAGATCCCTAGCCTTCCTTTCCGGAGGCATTCGCAACACACGGCCAAACCATCGCAGTTGTGACTTCTCAGTCTGGAGAAGCAAAGGCTGTATTCCAAGGCTCTTCCGGATGTCACTA